GAGAACCCTCCTGCAAGGAAACCCCCTCTTGAGAAAAACGACCAATGGAAAAAATGGCAGCCTTCTGTACTCCTCATCTCAATGACACCCTCCCACAGCACCTGCCAGCTAGCTGTCGGGTTGTCATAAAATACAGCATTCAGGTTGCTGCATCAAACAGATATTAGATGAAGAAAGTCAAAATTGCATCAGAATTATCAGAAAATAATTAACACTTCATGCCTGCAAGTTGCATGAATAAAATAATCCCGGCATGTAACCTTACAGAGTAAACCTTGTCTAGCTGCAGCGTATTTAAGGCTTGTGACCATAAAGCGTGGACAATCAAGTACATATTGCAAGCAAACACTTGAACCATGATTCCAGACACATTATATGGAGGAAGCACAAAATCTCTTAGGTTATCTGAGTACTCAGATAAGGATGACCACACCTCAAGTTGTTTGTTTGCAAAAAAAAATATAAGCGCTGGACTATCTCCTAACATGAAGTCTACCAATATGGATTACCCAACACAGAGCTAGAGGGGCCAGGCGCCTGTGCTTGGGCAGGTGCAGCCTGCAATGATGAGTGGCATGACAAGAACATCAGTCAAGCAGCGTTTAAAAGCATGTGGTGCTGCACAAATGGCTCATTGCTGGTACAAATATATGGCCAGCAGCAGCAACAATGTAGGTTTGAGGCAATAAAGGATAAGGACCACACACATTTTCAGTTCCTGTGCAGACGACTTGCATTCCAAAATGCATGCAACATCTACACCCCAAAACAAGATCGCCTCCAATGCGTCTGTAGGGCGCCTCTTAAACAGCATAAACCTGTCCACCAAGAGTCCCCTACCAGGAAAAGCTTGAGCACAGTGGTTATTTTTCATTGCATGGCATGAAAGCATGCATCTAGACAACATGAAGTTAATTGCCCGTGATCAGCAACGGTGATGTGTTTTTGGCACTGAGAAAGCCTTGGGCTTGCGTGTATACACATTAGGTACGTACCTAATGTTTACCTTAGCTGGCAAAATGACTCTTTCTATGATAATTGAATTGAATCGAATATGTGTGTCTGTCTGTGTGTTTAGTGCGCAAAGCCGCCAACCGCGGAAAATCTGAAATGGCGCTTGGCAGTCATAAGAGCTGCAACTGTATGGGCATGCTTCCCCTGTGGGCTGCAGCTGATTGTGAGGTCCTTGGAGGAGCAGAATCATATTCATAACAGAGCATATGAAGGGCATCGCAAGTGGACCAGGCGAAGGAAAATTTCAAATGCTTGGTGAGAGCTGCATGCAGCACAAGCTCAGCGCCGATTCAAACGTGCCTGGTCATAGCTTCCTGGTACATGCAAGCAAAATCCCAAATTTGAAAGCATTGTACAGCCAGAGAGCTCAAGGGTGAGAGGAGGGATTCTTTTTTTGCTAGCTGGTGTGTATACGTAGTACGTACAAAAGGGCTCGAAGAGCAGCTAGACTCACTCACATCCAGCACAAAGCCCTTCTCGCCATTCCCCTTATTATAGCCTACACCTCCACGGGGCTTTGGATCCTTCTCACACCCTGGCTTCGGCTTCAGGCCGGGTGCACTGTGGCCGTGCGCGAGGGCCCCAGACTGCCACACATGGCCTGGATTCATATTTCAAATTTGATTATTTATCTACCATAAGTCGCGATCCGTCAGAGTTCCTGGAAAACCTCCCTCTTTCGACAGCTCCTGTTCATTTCTGAATCCGGTCCAGATATTTTCAAACTCTTATAAAGGTTCCATATGTATCACTGATAATGGAAGATGGGAAGGGGGCCACCTTGAAAGTCACCTCAAGCTGTCTACCTGGTACATCCCTCGCTTACTCCTTTATTACAGTTGTCTGTCACATATAAAGCACCATGAAGTCAATAGATTCAGGATTTTCTTCAGGTACATGTTGAGCTGAACAGCCAAGAAGAGCACCCCATCTGAATGCAGACATATGCATTGCAATTGCATTTATGCAAAGGAAGAAACCACACGAATCCCGACCCGTTTTTTTGGGATCCCCTGAAGTTTCTTCCTGTTTTTTTTTCCTTCCTTTGACAGGGTTCGGCCTCTCAGAATACCGTACCAGCAAAAGCTTCGGAAAGGGTCAGGTACAACAGTTGGATTTCGCTACCAGCTGTCAGCTGGCAGGAAAGGGGCAGAAGTCCCAATGAGGGAAGAGTGGGAGAACTTGCCTGAAAAGTCGTGACAAGTGGCAGCTTTGGGTATGTTCCCAGGGCGCAATGGATGCAAGTTCGAAAATTTCTGTAATTTTTTCAACGGAGGGAGCAACAGGAACTGGACCTGTCCTTCTCTCAGTCACTAAAACTGGTAATACATTTGAAAAGCGCCTTTCAAGCCTCAGATCATCGATCAT